GTGCGTGGAGGTTGTAGAAGGAACAAGCCCCCGTGGGTGGAGGTTGGAGATGGAACAAGCGCCCATGGGTGGAGGTTGGAGAAGGCACAAGCCCCCGTGGGTGGAGGTTGGGGAAGGAACAATTTTTCTCCCTCCTCCTTGTGACACCCTTTCAGGTACTTGAAAACCGCTCTCCTGTCCCCTCTCCGTCTTCTCCTCTCCAAACTAAACAAGCCCAGTTCCTCCAGCCTCCCCTCCTAGCTCACGTTCTCCAGACCTTCCATCATTCTTGTTACTCTTCTCTGGACCTTCTCCCGTTTCCCCACCTCTTTCCTGCAATGTGGGGCCCAGCACTGGACCCCCCCCTTCCAGCCGAGGCCGAATCCGCCGCTCGCGTCCCGCCCCGAGCTCCGGGGGGCAGTGACGGATGCTCTCTCGGCTCTCGTTCTCTAGGACAACGAGTGCATGAGGATCAAGATCCTGGGCGATTGTTACTACTGCGTCTCGGGGTTACCCGTGTCCCTGCCCAACCACGCCTGCAACTGCGTCAAGATGGGCTTGGACATGTGCCAGGCCATCAAGTGAGTGCGGGCGGCGGGCGGGGGCCGTGGGGATGGGGGCTAGGGGGCGGCCCGGCCGGCTCTGTGAGCTCTCCCCTCCTTCTCGTCCGCCCCCAGGAAGCTGCGGGACGCCACCGGGGTGGACATCAGCATGCGGGTCGGGGTGCACTCGGGGAACGTGCTGTGCGGGGTCATCGGCCTGCAGAAGTGGCAGTACGACGTCTGGTCCCACGACGTGACGCTGGCCAACCACATGGAGGCCGGAGGGGTGCCCGGGCGTGGCGGCACCGGGTGTGTGTGCTGTCACACAGACACACATGTGCACACACGCAAACACAGAGATGCACACGCACAGACATACACAGAGACGCACACACATGCTCGCACACACTCTCATACCCACAGAGACATACAGACCCACAGAGACACACATGCGCTTACACATATACAGACACACACACACACAGAGACACAGGCATGTGTGTGTCTGTGTGTGTGCACATGTGTGTGTCTTTGTGCATGTGTGTGTCTCTGTGCGTGTGTGTGCATGTGTGTGTCTCTGTGTCTGTGTGTGTGCGTGTGTCTGTGTGCGTTTGTGTGTTTGTGTGTGCGCGCGTGTGTATCTCTGTGTCTGTGTGTGTGTGTGCACATGTGTATGTGCGTCTCTGTGTGTGCGCACGCACATGTGTGTGTGCGTCTGTGTCTGTGTGTGTCTGTATGTGCACGTCTGTGTGTGCATGCGCACGTGTGTCTGTGTGTGTGCACGTGAAGGTGTCTGTGTCTCTGTGTGTGAGCGTGTGTGTGTCTCTGTGTGCATGTCTGTGTGTGTGCATGCAGGTGTCTGTGTCTGTGTGAGCGTGTCTGTGTGTCTCTGTGGGTGTGTATGTCTCTGTGTGGGTGTGAGAGAGTGTGAGAGCACGCGTGTGTGTCTCTGTTTGCGTGCGTGCATATGTGTGTCTGTGTCTCTGCACGTGCATGCGTGTCTGTCTGTGTGTGAGCGTGTGTGTGCGTCTCTGTGTATGTCTCTGCTCTGGGTGTGAAAGGGCGCCCCCTGCAGGCGGAGGGAGGAATTGCACATGTGTGGGTGTGAACGGGCGCCCCCTGCAGGCGGAGGGAGGAATTGCACGTGTGTGGGTGTGAACGGGCGCCCCCTGCAGGCGGAGGGAGGAATTGCACGTGTGTGGGTGTGAACGGGCGCCCCCTGCAGGCGGAGGGAGGAATTGCACGTGTGTGGGTGTGAACGGGCGCCCCCTGCAGGCGGAGGGAGGAATTGCACGTGTGTGGGTGTGAACGGGCGCCCCCTGCAGGCGGAGGGAGGAATTGCACGTGTGTGGGTGTGAACGGGCGCCCCCTGCAGGCGGAGGGAGGAATTGCACGTGTGTGGGTGTGAACGGGCGCCCCCTGCAGGCGGAGGGAGGAATTGCACGTGTGTGGGTGTGAACGGGCGCCCCCTGCAGGCGGAGGGAGGAATTGCACGTGTGTGGGTGTGAACGGGCGCCCCCTGCAGGCGGAGGGAGGAATTGCACGTGTGTGGGTGTGAACGGGCGCCCCCTGCAGGCGGAGGGAGGAATTGCACGTGTGTGGGTGTGAACGGGCGCCCCCTGCAGGCGGAGGGAGGAATTGCACGTGTGTGGGTGTGAACGGGCGCCCCCTGCAGGCGGAGGGAGGAATTGCACGTGTGTGGGTGTGAACGGGCGCCCCCTGCAGGCGGAGGGAGGAATTGCACGTGTGTGGGTGTGAACGGGCGCCCCCTGCAGGCGGAGGGAGGAATTGCACGTGTGTGGGTGTGAACGGGCGCCCCCTGCAGGCGGAGGGAGGAATTGCACGTGTGTGGGTGTGAACGGGCGCCCCCTGCAGGCGGAGGGAGGAATTGCACGTGTGTGGGTGTGAACGGGCGCCCCCTGCAGGCGGAGGGAGGAATTGCACGTGTGTGGGTGTGAACGGGCGCCCCCTGCAGGCGGAGGGAGGAATTGCACGTGTGTGGGTGTGAACGGGCGCCCCCTGCAGGCGGAGGGAGGAATTGCACGTGTGTGGGTGTGAACGGGCGCCCCCTGCAGGCGGAGGGAGGAATTGCACATGTGTGGGTGTGAACGGGCGCCCCCTGCAGGCGGAGGGAGGAATTGCACATGTGTGGGTGTGAACGGGCGCCCCCTGCAGGCGGAGGGAGGAATTGCACATGTGTGGGTGTGAACGGGCGCCCCCTGCAGGCGGAGGGAGGAATTGCACATGTGTGGGTGTGAACGGGCGCCCCCTGCAGGCGGAGGGAGGAATTGCACATGTGTGGGTGTGAACGGGCGCCCCCTGCAGGCGGAGGGAGGAATTGCACGTGTGTGGGTGTGAACGGGCGCCCCCTGCAGGCGGAGGGAGGAATTGCACATGTGTGGGTGTGAACGGGCGCCCCCTGCAGGCGGAGGGAGGAATTGCACATGTGTGGGTGTGAACGGGCGCCCCCTGCAGGCGGAGGGAGGAATTGCACATGTGTGGGTGTGAACGGGCGCCCCCTGCAGGCGGAGGGAGGAATTGCACATGTGTGGGTGTGAACGGGCGCCCCCTGCAGGCGGAGGGAGGAATTGCACATGTGTGGGTGTGAACGGGCGCCCCCTGCAGGCGGAGGGAGGAATTGCACGTGTGTGGGTGTGAACGGGCGCCCCCTGCAGGCGGAGGGAGGAATTGCACATGTGTGGGTGTGAACGGGCGCCCCCTGCAGGCGGAGGGAGGAATTGCACATGTGTGGGTGTGAACGGGCGCCCCCTGCAGGCGGAGGGAGGAATTGCACATGTGTGGGTGTGAACGGGCGCCCCCTGCAGGCGGAGGGAGGAATTGCACATGTGTGGGTGTGAACGGGCGCCCCCTGCAGGCGGAGGGAGGAATTGCACATGTGTGGGTGTGAACGGGCGCCCCCTGCAGGCGGAGGGAGGAATTGCACGTGTGTGGGTGTGAACGGGCGCCCCCTGCAGGCGGAGGGAGGAATTGCACATGTGTGGGTGTGAACGGGCGCCCCCTGCAGGCGGAGGGAGGAATTGCACATGTGTGGGTGTGAACGGGCGCCCCCTGCAGGCGGAGGGAGGAATTGCACATGTGTGGGTGTGAACGGGCGCCCCCTGCAGGCGGAGGGAGGAATTGCACATGTGTGGGTGTGAACGGGCGCCCCCTGCAGGCGGAGGGAGGAATTGCACATGTGTGGGTGTGAACGGGCGCCCCCTGCAGGCGGAGGGAGGAATTGCACGTGTGTGGGTGTGAACGGGCGCCCCCTGCAGGCGGAGGGAGGAATTGCACATGTGTGGGTGTGAACGGGCGCCCCCTGCAGGCGGAGGGAGGAATTGCACATGTGTGGGTGTGAACGGGCGCCCCCTGCAGGCGGAGGGAGGAATTGCACATGTGTGGGTGTGAACGGGCGCCCCCTGCAGGCGGAGGGAGGAATTGCACATGTGTGGGTGTGAACGGGCGCCCCCTGCAGGCGGAGGGAGGAATTGCACATGTGTGGGTGTGAACGGGCGCCCCCTGCAGGCGGAGGGAGGAATTGCACGTGTGTGGGTGTGAACGGGCGCCCCCTGCAGGCGGAGGGAGGAATTGCACATGTGTGGGTGTGAACGGGCGCCCCCTGCAGGCGGAGGGAGGAATTGCACATGTGTGGGTGTGAACGGGCGCCCCCTGCAGGCGGAGGGAGGAATTGCACATGTGTGGGTGTGAACGGGCGCCCCCTGCAGGCGGAGGGAGGAATTGCACATGTGTGGGTGTGAACGGGCGCCCCCTGCAGGCGGAGGGAGGAATTGCACATGTGTGGGTGTGAACGGGCGCCCCCTGCAGGCGGAGGGAGGAATTGCACGTGTGTGGGTGTGAACGGGCGCCCCCTGCAGGCGGAGGGAGGAATTGCACATGTGTGGGTGTGAACGGGCGCCCCCTGCAGGCGGAGGGAGGAATTGCACATGTGTGGGTGTGAACGGGCGCCCCCTGCAGGCGGAGGGAGGAATTGCACATGTGTGGGTGTGAACGGGCGCCCCCTGCAGGCGGAGGGAGGAATTGCACATGTGTGGGTGTGAACGGGCGCCCCCTGCAGGCGGAGGGAGGAATTGCACATGTGTGGGTGTGAACGGGCGCCCCCTGCAGGCGGAGGGAGGAATTGCACGTGTGTGGGTGTGAACGGGCGCCCCCTGCAGGCGGAGGGAGGAATTGCACATGTGTGGGTGTGAACGGGCGCCCCCTGCAGGCGGAGGGAGGAATTGCACATGTGTGGGTGTGAACGGGCGCCCCCTGCAGGCGGAGGGAGGAATTGCACATGTGTGGGTGTGAACGGGCGCCCCCTGCAGGCGGAGGGAGGAATTGCACATGTGTGGGTGTGAACGGGCGCCCCCTGCAGGCGGAGGGAGGAATTGCACATGTGTGGGTGTGAACGGGCGCCCCCTGCAGGCGGAGGGAGGAATTGCACGTGTGTGGGTGTGAACGGGCGCCCCCTGCAGGCGGAGGGAGGAATTGCACATGTGTGGGTGTGAACGGGCGCCCCCTGCAGGCGGAGGGAGGAATTGCACATGTGTGGGTGTGAACGGGCGCCCCCTGCAGGCGGAGGGAGGAATTGCACATGTGTGGGTGTGAACGGGCGCCCCCTGCAGGCGGAGGGAGGAATTGCACATGTGTGGGTGTGAACGGGCGCCCCCTGCAGGCGGAGGGAGGAATTGCACATGTGTGGGTGTGAACGGGCGCCCCCTGCAGGCGGAGGGAGGAATTGCACGTGTGTGGGTGTGAACGGGCGCCCCCTGCAGGCGGAGGGAGGAATTGCACATGTGTGGGTGTGAACGGGCGCCCCCTGCAGGCGGAGGGAGGAATTGCACATGTGTGGGTGTGAACGGGCGCCCCCTGCAGGCGGAGGGAGGAATTGCACATGTGTGGGTGTGAACGGGCGCCCCCTGCAGGCGGAGGGAGGAATTGCACATGTGTGGGTGTGAACGGGCGCCCCCTGCAGGCGGAGGGAGGAATTGCACATGTGTGGGTGTGAACGGGCGCCCCCTGCAGGCGGAGGGAGGAATTGCACGTGTGTGGGTGTGAACGGGCGCCCCCTGCAGGCGGAGGGAGGAATTGCACATGTGTGGGTGTGAACGGGCGCCCCCTGCAGGCGGAGGGAGGAATTGCACATGTGTGGGTGTGAACGGGCGCCCCCTGCAGGCGGAGGGAGGAATTGCACATGTGTGGGTGTGAACGGGCGCCCCCTGCAGGCGGAGGGAGGAATTGCACATGTGTGGGTGTGAACGGGCGCCCCCTGCAGGCGGAGGGAGGAATTGCACATGTGTGGGTGTGAACGGGCGCCCCCTGCAGGCGGAGGGAGGAATTGCACGTGTGTGGGTGTGAACGGGCGCCCCCTGCAGGCGGAGGGAGGAATTGCACATGTGTGGGTGTGAACGGGCGCCCCCTGCAGGCGGAGGGAGGAATTGCACATGTGTGGGTGTGAACGGGCGCCCCCTGCAGGCGGCCGTCTGCACCCAGCCCTGGCTCCGCGTCAGCCTGGGTATCGCCACCATCCTACTGGTCCTCACCATGGCCGTGCTCAACCTCGTGAGTTGCCCCCGCGGGGTAGTGGGGGCTATGCTGAGTGGGGAGGGGCAGGACTCCTGGGTTATCTCCTGGCTCTGGGAGGGCAGTGGGGCTGAGTGGTTAGAGCAGAGGGTGGGGAGCCAAGACTCCTGGGTTCGCACCCTGGCTCTGGGAGGGTGGTGGGGCTGAGTGGTTAGAGCAGAGGGTGGAGAGCCAAGACTCCTGGGTTCGCACCCTGGCTCTGGGAGGGTGGTGGGGCTGAGTGGTTAGAGCAGAGGGTGGAGAGCCAAGACTCCTGGGTTCGCACCCTGGCTCTGGGAGGGCAGTGGAGGCTGGTAGTTAGAGCAGGCCAGGCTGAGAGCCGGGACTCCTGGGTTCTCTCCCTGGCTCTGGGAAGGGAGTAGGGTCTAGTGGTTAGAGCAAGGGGGACTGGGAGCCAGGACTTCTAGGTTCTCTCCCTGGGTCTAGGAGGGGAGTGGAGTCTAGTGGTTAGAGGTGCATGGGTGGGGGCGGGGAGGCAGAATATCTGGTCTCTATCCCTGGCTCTGGAGTGGGGTGCAGTGGTTAGAGCCAGGGGGAATGGGAACCAGGACTCCTGGGTTCTCTCCCTGTGTCTGGAAAGAGAGTGGGGTGTAGTGGTTAGAGGAGAGGGGAGGTGGGACTCAGGGTTTCTAGTCCCTATCCCTGGCTCTAGGAGGGGAGCGGGGTGTAGCGGTTAGAGGGGAGGGGAGGTGGGACTCAAGGCTTCTAGTCCCTATCCCTGGCTCTAGGAGGGGAGCAGGGTGCAGTGGTTAGAGCCGGATGGGCTGGGAGCCTCCTGTGAGTGACGGCCTCTGAATTAATAACCCCTTTCCTCACAGGCCCCACCCCCTTCTCTCCCCCCAGTACTACATTTACTGCAGCATCCTGGGGCTGGTCTCCTGCTCCCTGTTCCTGCACATGAACTTTGAGCTCAAGCTGCTGCTGCTGACGCTGTGCCTGGTGGTCTACAACGTCCTCTTCCTGCACAGCCGCGCCTGGCTCTCCGACTGCTACGTGGGGCGCCTCTACCCCAACCAGACCCTGCTCAGGTAGCGCCCTGGGGGGTCGGCTGGGGGAGGGCACCCCCTGGGGGCTGGCTGGGGGAGAGCACTTGGGGGAGAGCGCCCCCTGGGGGCTGGCTGTAGGACATCGCTCAGGGGAGAGCACCCCCTGGGGGCTGACTGGGGGAGAGCACTTGGGGGAGAGCGCCCCCTGGGGGCTGACTGGGGGAGAGCACTTGGGGGAGAGCGCCCCCTGGGGGCTGACTGGGGGAGAGCACTTGGGGGAGAGCGCCCCCTGGGGGCTGACTGGGGGAGAGCACTTGGGGGAGAGCGCCCCCTGGGGGCTGACTGGGGGAGAGCACTTGGGGGAGAGCGCCCCCTGGGGGCTGGCTGTAGGACATCGCTCAGGGGAGAGCACCCCCTGGGGGCTGACTGGGGGAGAGCACTCGGGGGAGAGTGCCCCCTGGGGGCTGGCTGGGGGAGGGTGCCCCCGGTGGGCCCCGATGTGCTCAGCAAGGCTGGGCTGGGCACATGGGTTGCAATGGGGGAGCTGGGCTGGCTGGACACTCAGT